CGTGCCGGCGGCCTCTGCCATGTCACCCTGCCCCAGTCCAGAGGTGTCCGGTCCCATGTGACATGCGTGCAGCACCCAGCCCCAACCCCCAAGGGCCGGATCCGACATTCCAGCCCACTCCACAGAACCTGGGTTCTGCCTCCGCAGCAGCTCCAGGGACCCCAAAGTCACAGGAGACCACCTGGGAGGGGGGTTCTTTAATCCCCAGGAGGGAAACTGAGGCACGGAGCGGTTCCAGCCTCATCACTGAGTTGAATGCTCGATGTTTCCTCGATGGTGGGTACCAGCCTCCAGCCTTCACCCCACTCACCCACATCTCTCCTGTCCCCCCCAGTTTGGGACTGGCTCCCAGGTGGGTGCGTGCAGCCATGCCTCAAAGGCGGCAGCCCCTTGTTTTGGGGACCTGGTGGGACACGCTCACCCCTTCCCACCCAGCAGCCGCTGGAGCAAGACTGGGAACCTTCGCTCCTTCCTCCTCCTCAAGCCACCAGCCGGGATCTGGGGTGGTGACGGAGAAGACCAAGGCTGGGTTTGATCCCAGAGGGTCTCTCCCGCTCCCCGGCCCTCCCCAAAGCCACCGCTGTTTATTTCCCCCGCTCGACGCTATCGCCCCATCAGGGCTCAGAGGGCGGCGCGGGGCTGGGGCTTGTTTGGTTGGATTTCCCTCTTCCCCGTGTGCTGGAGCGTGGGGATGCCGAAGGTCTGGCAGCAGTTCAGCCCCCACGAGGGTTCCCCACAGCCACCGGTGGGATGGGAGTGGGGGGGCTCAGCCCCGTGCCCTCCATGGCACGCACGACGGCAGTCACGAGCCTCATCTCTCCGCCGAGAGCTTTCCTAAGCATACCCCGCAGAGACCCCCGCTGTTCTACCCCTCGTCCCCCCTCACCCCCGCCCCCCTTAACCGCAGCCTCTCCGAGCAGCCAAACGAAAATTCCTGCCCTTTCCTCCTGGCTGGAGCTGCCTCCCCCTTCCCGGCTGAGAAGAAAATCCATGGCAGTGGCCAGCACGTGCTGGCGGGGACCGGGATGCTCCACGATGCGTCCCCCAGATTTCCAACCCAGGGACGCCCATCCCACTGCCCCCGGGGATCCCGGCAGCCCCCGGCACCTGGGGCCCCACGCTCCCCCTCTCCCCAGCCCTGGCTCTCCTTCAAAGCCATTCCTTCGCTAAGAGGAGTTGGCAAAAGCCACGGGACCAGCTGGAAACCGCCTTTATTCCAGGCGGGAGAAGGGGGACGAAGGCACCCCACCACCTCCTGCAAACATTACTGGGGATTTGGGGGGGGGGGGGGCA